CAAAACCACGAAGTCATCAGGTTAAGATGACCATACTTCTGATATTAAAAGTGTCGATACTATCATCTACAACTAGTAAGTCAGCTATCTAATTTTCTTCATTACAGATACTAAAAATTGTATCATTGTCGAAGGAAAGTAAGCGCCTAATATGTTTCAAGTAACCTCAATAGACCACGAACCTCACAAAGAACCACAACAAAAGAATAAGCCTCTATCCATAAGTTCGAAAGTCCAAGTCGATGAGCAAAAAGAATCACAACGATCTGCAACTCAACCTCGAGTATAGTATAGGACAGACACCATAGAATGAGAAGAAAACACAAGTGCATTGTCCAGACTAATCCTGGATGGTACCCCACCACTAGTAAAATCATCCATGATGCATCCATCGGTGTTGATTTTATAGGATCCGACGGACGAATCATGCCAGGAAACTAGAATATATAAAAGAAGTAGGTGGGGTGGGTGGGTGAAAGAAATATCAAATAAAGGGATGATATCCAAGTCCTTCATCAACGTACAAATCAGAATAAACGGCCCGTGTAAAAAAGGGAGAGAGTTAGAAAGACCTGCCAAATGATCATCTGAGGCTCTATAGCAATATCTTAGTACTTCACATTATTTTTTTGTAGTTCATAAGAACCAAATGATAAGCAAAGGAATGGTAATGCTAATGTGGCCGAACAAACTGGCCTGAGAACCGTCGATCTGGAAGAGATATCAAAAGTCCTCATCTTGACGAAGCGGTTAAACTTGATAAATTTCACTGCCTAGGAATAGGTGCGAAATGGCCTCAATCACTAACCAACATTGACATTGGGACGCTAGATGATATTCAAATCGTTGCTGACTCACAACATCAATTGAGAGTGGGCAACGGAAAATAAACATTTACTAAAATTCCTAACGAATGCACAACAAATGCAATAGAAATGGAAAAATGAAAAGCGAGCTAGAAATAAAAAATATAAATTAAACGTAGTTTGAAAAACTGCTGAAGATCACAGGAGAAGAAGGTTTTATTAGTTATGAAAACCACAGTATAACATTTTGTGAGGATATGGTTCACCTAACCCCACCCAATGTTGTGACTTGATGGTAGTGAGGTTGACACAATAAGGTCTTCCCACGTTTTGGCAAAGACATGGTCTTTCCTTCCTTCCCCTTCATATGTACTCTCTACCATTTCAAAAGAAGGAGGAGCTCTCGGTCTCTTTTTCTCCCAGCAGAAGTGAGCTCTCGGTTTTAGCTTAAGGTGGTGGTTCTTTGCCGGATTTTTTCCCCTCTCTCTTGGAAGGTGATTTGCAAGTCATGGAGGCTGTTCCTGAGCCTGAAAAACACCCATAAATCGAAGAAGAAGCTGCTGAAACGAAGAAGAAGAAGCTGGACAGATTTCGGCCAAATAAAGGGGTTGTATTCTTCCGGTTTTATTTTCTTGTTTTTGCCTTGAATCTTGTTTGTTGATTGTTGTTTTGGTTGATTGAACTCCTAGGATCCCCAACAAACTGGTATCAGAGCTAGGAGGAGTGATATTAGTCCAAAATCGATCAAAAATCAGCAAGGAATCGCCATTACCATTTTTTAACCGAATCTGAAAAACTTGATTTCTAGCCAACCTATTGACTTTCTGGCGAAATGGACCATGGAACCATGACCAGTAGGAGGAGGCGCACCCTGTGGTGGGGCGTGTGACCGGCGGCGCGTGGTCGGACCTCCGGCGAGCTTTTTTCGGGCAGTTTACTTATTTTGACGTCCTGAATGCACTGATATCGTTTGTTTTTTGTTTCAGATTTTACAGAAAAAGTTGGACGATTTTGCCCCTACCTTGACGTCTACGGCAATTTGGTTCAGAAACTTGGTGGTATATTTACTGTTTGTCAACAGTAGTTTGGTAAGATTATTCCATACTCTCCGTTAGGTTAGGTTTGGTATCCTTATTGGTTTATGCATGGTTATTGCTTGGTTGCTTATTTGTGAATTCTGTTGATTGAATTCTTGTGATTAATTTGTAACCTGGAAGCATATTTACCTGCTTTATATACCTGTGTTTTGTGAACGGATTATTTCACTGTTGTGCTTCATTTCTAAAAATTGTTTTTTAAACTCGGTACTCAGTTTTATATTGATCATCTGGAAAAGAATTTTTCAAAACCTTTTTTGTTGTGTCCACGAGTACAGGCCACTCTTTTATAGAATCTATAATGGGTTTGAGGGTCGAATTATCGCAATTCGATGGAAAGGGGGATTACTCGCTATGAAAATAGAAAATGAGAGCCATTTTGGTCCAACAGAGAGTTGCTAAAGCTCTTGATGATCCCGCTACATTTTCTGATGAGTTAAAAGCTAAAACAACTGAAATTGAAGATATGAATGAAATTGCTTACAGTTATATAATTTTGCATTTATTTGACAATATTGTGAGACAAGTTGATAGTGCTAAAACTGCTAGAGCTTTGTGGATTGCTTTAGATGCCCTGTTCTTAACTAAAACTTTACCTAACAAAATATACCTGTTGGAGAAGTTGTTTAGTTTTAAGATGGACCCGGGGAAGGATGTCGAGGGAAATTTGAGTGACTTTAGCATAATTGTTAAGAGTCTAGCTCATAATGATAAAACATTTGATGATGAGGATTTAGCTGTCATATTGCTAAACTCTTTGCCCGAATCTTACAGAGAAATGAAAAATGCCATAAAGTATGGTAGGGACACTCTCACTCAAGCTATTGTTTCTGATGCTTTAAAATCAAGAGAACTTGAATTAAAAAGAGAGAACAGAATTCATTCTCGTGAAGAGAGTCTATTTGTTAGGGGAAGATCTGAAAAGAAAGAATTTAACTTCCATAACAAGAAGGGGAGAGGAAAATCTAAAATGAGATCCAAATCTAAAGATAAAAGCGGTAAGAAATGTTATCACTGTGGAAAGTTAGGACATTTCAAGAAAGACTGCTTTGATTGGAAAAGAAAACAAAAAGACCCGAACAATTCTGATGTTGATAATGCTGCTATTGCTACTGAATTTAATAGTTTGCATGTCATGAATGTGTTTGAAGAAGAATTTGACAAAAATTGGATTCTTGACACAGGGTGCACTTTCCATATGTGCCCTGATAGGTCTTGGTTTTATAACTACCCAACAATATATTGAACCAGTGTATGTATAGAAATTTGAGCTCATAGGGAAATGGAATTTGCAATATTAATTTGTACACATATTTTGCAGTTTTTCTTACAAGGAATAAGTTGCACAAGCTATTGAATTATATATACAAATGAAGATGATTGCATTACAACAAAATGTCTTAAATTGATAGGAGATAATGACAGGATTATGATGGCTTATCCGGTTCCCATTTTATATCAATATTTGTTTTTGAATCCATCCAATCTCACTTCCTCAAGTTATTGAATTATTACATTAATTGAACTACAACGTAATTTGACTAGTCTTATGTTTCAATCTGATTAGTAATCCTAATACATTGTTTTTGCTTCCACTTTGAATAATGCTCTTGCATATCTTCTGATTGTTTGTCCGAGGTGCCACATCGAACAAAGCTTCACAAAATGTCCCATATCTTTACATGTATCCTTCTTGAGTGTAAGATTCGGACATAGATATGGATTAGAGGGAATAGAATTGAGAGGGACAACATCTTTGATATTCAATGCGTATGTTATCCAATATGATGACCGATTACTAGTGATTCAACTTATACCATGGTTGATGCATATGCCACAGAAGTAACATATCAAATAAAAAAAATAATAATTAAAATGTGTGACAAATTTTTGGATGAAAAAATCTCTCTGAAAATCCATCGAGAAGAATATAAACATTTAGCCATAGTAAAATTGTGTTGTGTGCTAAATAATGAAGTGATAAGTTCAGCTTGTCACGCCATTACTTCTTGCATCTCAAATTTGTGATGTCGAGGCATTACGAGGATTCCCTTGCATGAAAGAGCTAAAAGTGGCCATTATTGTGAATAATATTATGAAATAATAACATTTACTTAAGGGAATCGCGTGCTGTTTTAAAATAAGTAAACTTAAATTGATACAAAAGATAGTAGAAACAAGTATTCTTCCTTTATCATGTCCTCATGGTTGAGCAAACCCTAGAGATGTTTGAATGGATCAATGAATTATAGATATAGCGAGTTGGTATGATGAATTGAAAAATATGCCAAAACAATGTCATGTTGCAAACAACAAGTTTACTTACTAATTAATAGTTCCAACCTTGTTTTTGAGTTGTCATGTTGATCTTCAAGGATTTAAGATGTTATGAAAAAAAGAAACTTGAAAATTGTATTATATTTGTGCCAAAAATAAATATATAATTGAAATGAGTTTGAGCATTTGAATTATTTTGACGTGTAACATACTTCAATACCTATATTACTCGCATAAACATGTTTATATAAAGAAATAAATGAAACATGATACAGCTGCATAGAATTAACTAATAATAAAACCAAATTAATTTAGTACATCGCTCTTGCGGAAATTAATTAAGAATGAGTTGCAACAATATTTCAAATAAAAGAAAAAATTATAATATGATTAATAAATTCAAAATTAATTAAGACACTTTATCCAATATATTCACAAGCAAAAATGTAACAATCAACGCCATAAAGCGTAAACCTCTAGATGAAGTGGTAACATGGAGAGAAGTTATTAATCGAAGCACATATACTAGTTTCGAAAGTTGAATCCTGGCGACATTAAAAAATTTAAATACACTATTTCAATTTTTCTAATAAGTAGCTTTAGAAATGGATTATTTCTATGATTGTTTGGCTGCTGCATCTGTGTTTAAAAAATATTAAAATTTTGAGTAATTGATTGAATGATTGATTACCAAGAAAAATAGTTAACTTAAAGCGTGCTAGAATTGTTATGTTTTGTCCGATTTTTGACCCTAGGATTAAAATAGATCTGCATTTCTAATATATATCTACTATCAGTGGCCTATAAATTATGGACAAAAACACTGAGCTTTTCATCCAAAGCATAATTTCCTCTACTTGAGAAAAATGGCTCCCTTCAAGACTTTATTTCTTCTCAGCTTTCTCTTCGCTGTAGTTCTTGTAATCTCTTCCAGAGCTTCGGCAGATAATGAGCCCGGAGTTGCCCAAACTCGTGAGTATTGTTTACCAATCTCTCTCTCTCTCTCTCTCTCTCTCATATTTTGTAGATTAGATAGAATCGTTCGTTGTTGAAGAAGAAACTGAAGTTATGATTTTTATTATAGTGTCTGTCCCGCATAACAATCATACTCTAAATGCACAATATGCCTTCCAAGTACTGTTCACGAAAAAAAAAGTACAAAATCTAAATCTATATATAGATTTTCTTCATAAGCAGTTACTGATGTTCCTTAATTGTACATTTTTGAAGAGGGTGGGGAGCAAGTGGACCGCCATGGAGGAGGCGGATGGCACGGCGGAGGGCATCACTGCCACTATCCGCACTGCAAAGAGGGTGTCCACGGGGATGAGACTCATCAAGCCGAGACAGAGACTGAGACTAAATCTGGAGAAACTGTGAGTACTAATACAAATGAAAATGGAGATGGACACAAACCGTACAAGCCCTACAAACCCAAACCAAAGCACTGCAAACATTGGCCACACTGTCGTTAATTTCCGACTTAAGTACGGATATTATGTCGAATATTGTAAAAGCAACTTTCTTCTTTAGCTTTATATATGTTGCGTGCTTTCAAGTCAATAAGGCATCTACTGCAAGTTTGTGCAAATTAGTGTTTGATATACTGGAGTCTCAATACTGTATGTCTTGTCTTTCACTTAATGCGAACGGTTTAATCCAATAAAAAGTTGTTTTTCATTTTTGATAAGGCATATTCTTATTCTTTTACTAAATGTTATTTGATTTTTCTCTTTCACTTGAACTCATGCCATCAAAAGGTATCAACTTGCTAGCTTTGCACCGTCCTTCATGGGCCACACTCGAATACAAAAGTTAGATTTGGCCGATCAAAAGGCTTAATACTATTTCATATATGTCAAGCATCAAGACACATGATCAAATCGAATGTGGATGGCATAATCCAACGTGTTAGAATGTTTTCATTACGAAAACAAGGCTAGTCATGATAAGATATAACGATGATGACGCTATTTATGTTACAATTTTAAGCAACAAACGAAAATTCTTTGTAAATAAGCATCGTTAAAGGTAACAAGAAGGATTATAAATACAATAATGGTTAAATATGTATGCTACTAAAAGCAATTTACAACAGCTAATTAAACTGCAAATCCTCATCTCTTCTAAACATGTAAGAGTAAGTTAAAATTGAATGAAAGAATTTTATGTGAAGTTCAAGATAATAACTCTTACTATATATAAATCATATTGGCCAGGTGACCATAGTCTCGTTCATTTACTTGATGAGTTTATCGTTTTAAAGATCCAAAAGGGGTAAAAATAGATCTGTCTTTAAATTTCAGTCTATGATTTTGCTTACGGTTGTGCCTGGGCAGTCATGGCCGATCACCACTTTAGTTATGCTGTTTAATTTAGCTTTAACAGATGAGGTGGCCGACCCTTCTGCTCATGTTGAGGTTCCGTTGCCAGATTGGACTCTCAGAAAATCTACCACAGAAGAGAGAGGAGTTTATGAGACAATCAACCGGAGAATTTACATAGGAGATAAGGATATGATTATTAAAATTTCTTCTTGAATCTGTGGTTAAAATTAATATAGAAATATAGTGGATTTCCATATTTAAGTATGTTTGATTTTACTTGAGAAAGATTAACGAATCATTTAGATAAATTCAATCATTCACACAATTGAAATAAAATGCCATAGTTGGGTAGGCGAAGTAAAACATGACAACTACGGTGTCACTATACCAAAAATTGCCTTTTGCAGCGGTCATGTGTATGTTGTGGGATACGATGTTGCTGTAGAGTCTTGAGATACGATAACGTTCCCTGATCGTTGCAAAAGGTCCTAAAGAACGTTGCTCTCTATTTTTTGCAATGTTCATTAATTATTGCAAAAAACCTTTAGCAACGTTCATTGATTGTTGCAAAAAACCTTTTTGCAATAGTAAATGAACGTTGCTAAAAGGTTTTTTTGGAACATTTAATGAATGTTGCGGTAATTGTTTTGGCAACATTCAATGACCGTAGCAAATACTTTTGGTAACGTTTTTCATTTGTTGTCGATTCTTTATCCTTATTTTTGGCAACATTCTCCGACTGTTGCCATAGGTCAATTTACCTTCCTTTTTTTTTAATTTTTAATTTTCTTAATATTTGTATAACAAATTTCAAATGAACCAGCAAAATCAAAAATATTTTTTGGGCTTGGAATTTGATAATAATTTCATTACTTCATAAAAATAAACATAAAACTTGCATCATTGCCATAAAGATAACTATTGTAATTCATCTCACAATTACAATAAATGGATCTGATATGAGTTATAGAAAACTTAAATCCTAATTACAAAATAAGGTCATGAATCTCTAGGTAGGCAATCGGAGTGTTTATCAAGAGATACAGTACCAAGTTGAAGCAAAGGCATAGCACTTGCAGATGGAGGCAAATTTTGTCCAAACACTAGAAGCTGATTCAACAAAGGCTGCTCTTCCAATAATTTGAGTTCTGTCATTTCTTTTGCTTGCCTCTGAATGTGATTGTTCATAAGCTAATCAAGAAAAGTTGCAATATCAGTGAAACCGACTTTCAATAACAAAAAATTCCAATTATAACTAACTTTCTAGTTTCCCAATGGAATGGGATAATAATTTAAATCCCCATTGAGCATTAAAATTATGAATGATTGAGAAACAATTCAAAACATCAAACAAATGATTTGAGATAGAAAAGTACTGTAGATGCAGTTTGTAAATATTAGAGATAATTTAACATTAAAATTTACCCAATGGTAAATATCTAAGTTAGGCAAAGATCTGCACAAAGATGGCTATTACCCGATGAAGGTATTCACGAAATAATTCTTTCGATTTAAAATTACCGCAAGTGTACGGTTCGTAACAAGTAATAAAGTGAATTTTTAAAAGTCCGAATATCGTCACTCAGAGATTGAGTAGTTCAATTCTATATAATCTAGCCTTAACCGAATCTAATTGAGTGAAAATATGATCTAAGTGCAAAAAGCCCTAATTTCAATTAAAAACCTAATTTCGAAATTTCTCTAATTAAACAACTTAAACACTCAAGTAAATGAAATTAAACAAGTTTAAAAGCTAATTTATTAAAATGAATCAAACTAAAGTCACTAGGATCACGAATCCCCAATTAAAATTATAAAAACTCTAATTTCATAAAATTAATGATTCGATGAAAATTTGCCAATTCAATGTTCCTAATTCTATCCAATATACTCTCTCAATATATATTAGACCTATCCTTGCACACCACCAGCCTATATCTCTATGGATGATGCAAACATACAAGAATACATGTAGTTTTGTGAACAATTTAAGAATTACATAAAGTATAGATGTATATCTCTATCCTCTATCAGACCCTATGTTAATTTACACCTTATCGAACCTATTCCACTTCTCTCGAATGTAAGAAACAAGTCATCAATACTCACACAATCATTGGCCACTAATTGCGGAAGAAAATTAATGCATGTAAATCAATCAAAATATCCAACTAATCTTTATATCAAGTTCATGAAATATAGAATTAAAATAACAAACAACGGTTCATCGATCACCTAGTAATTAAAACCCTAGCCTAGAAGATTCATAATTATAGAAAAAAAACGAAATTAATGAATAGAAGGAAGAACACCCGTATGAAAGTTCTTGAAATCTGAAATTTTGAATAAAACCTTGAAAACCAATTTGAATCCTTGTGAAATCGACTTCAAGTTCGTGTTTCTTACCTCCAAAAGTTGTATTCTTCTTCTCCCTGGACGTTCTGCCCTATTTCTGATGAATTTTGACTTTTATATCATGTCCTCACGGAGCCCCGAAAGAGTTTCAATTAAAAACGGGAAGTCAGATTTTTTTTCTAAAATAAGGCCATGCGGTCGCATGGTTCAAATTTTCAGCTCATTTGAAACCCTGCTAGACCCTGTGCGACCGCAAGGAATTATAACCATGCGGCCGCATGGTTATAAAAATTTTCCTTCGAATAGCTTTCAGTATTTTGGTCATAACTTTCTCTTTCAATCTCCGATTGAAGTGATTCAAAGTGCATTGGGAAGAAAACTCAAAGATGTACACTTTTAATAGAAATAGGCTTCCTCTAATTCTGATGTTTACTATGCCAAAAATGGATCTCAAGTAGAAACTCAAAATCACGAGCATAACTTTTTCGCCTGAAATTTGATATTTGATAATATTTCGACCATATTTCACCTCTTGACTCCTTTTCTCATCATATTGACCTTTAACATTCTTGAATCTTCATTCCATTTCCCGTCTCATCTATGGATTATTTGCAACTTGATCCTCGAACTATCGCTTTGTTCCGTTTTGGTCCTTTTTTGGCTCTTTTCTTCTGAATTCCATCTTTTCCATAGAAACACCTACATAGCATGAATTTAACAAGATTAAGTCATAATTCAACTACTTTGTCCATGTTTAAGTCATGTTTGTGAGCTAAATAAGTGTGTAAAAACACACTTATCAAATCCCCCAAACTTAAACTATTGTTTGTCCTCAAACAATGTAGTGATTTAATGCTAAATAAACATGGCTTAATAGCTTGCCGTGTCTCAGGATTGGACTTAGTAATAATAATAGAAACAATATCAAGAGTGCGAGAATTGAATCAACCTTTACTCATCAAATGCAATACTCAACGTGTGTGTGTGAACTCATGCCAACATATCAAGCTTATGATTAGTTTATCCCAGACCCATAGTGGTCAAATTTATCCTTACGTCACTCGAGAGATATACAATCCCCAAATGTATTTTTTTCACACAATTTCTCCGGGCTGTATTCTAAGGTTAGGAGTTTAAACAATTCTAATCCTTACCCTCTCTTAATTTGGATAGATTTTACCATTACAAGTTCACATATCAACAAGTAGAGGCTCTCCTTATTTTTGATTGCTTCAATCTTTAGTATTAGACTAAGCTACTTGCTTCGCGTTGAGGTTATAGTTCTATCAACCAAATGTCCAACGAGGGCTTTTATTTTATTTATTTATTTATTTATTTATTATTATTATTATTATTATTATTATTATTATTATTATTATTATTATTATTATTATTATTATTATGTCATCTTCTCATTTGCTTTCTATATAACCCATGTAACGAGCTTTAGGCGATGACTCCCAAACCAGTTGGCTTTGGGGCACCGGATTTTAAACCCTTGCTGTCTTATTCACTCGAGTTATAAAGGCTCGACAAGATGACTTTTTATCAACTCTCCTTTTTTCTTGCTTTCTATATAACCCATGTAACGAGCTTTAGACCGATGACTCCCAAACCAGTTGGCTTTAGGACTTCAGGTTTTAAACCCTTACAGACTTACTTGCTCGAGTCATAAAGGCTTTTTGAGAGAAGTGATAGTTTTTCAGTTTTTACTTTATGCCCTTTCTTTGTTTTTCTAGACATTTGACTTCTAAAACCATCCTCACTTAAAGCTTTCACATATTTCTCACCTTTCGGGTTTAAACAATCCACACATTATAATTTCATGCACGGAGCCCCCACTTATCTCCATGTTTTCCTACAATGGCTCAATCATCTCCAAACTATCTTAAAGTGATATAACGGGTTAATGTTATAGAGGGTTATTTTAGGTTTCTCCTAATTTATTCAAAAATTCCAATCAATAACTTAACACGTGACATGAGTGGTGTGCAAAAGAGTGTCAAGC